CGCGCTGTAATTACGGACATTTTAAAAAAAATTTGAAGTCTCTAGCTCTTATATCTTCTGAAATCGACGCGTTCATACATACGGACAGACGGACAGACGGACAGACAGACGGACAGGGCCAAATCAACTCAGCTCGTCACCCTGATCAAGAATATATATATACTTTGTGGGGTCTGCCACGCCTCCTTCTGCCTGTTACATACATTTCAACAAAACCATTATACCCTGATTTCCCATTGAAAATGGGTTCAGGGTATAAAAACATAAAACATATTAAGTCAACAAGGCGTTTACAGTAATTTATATTCGGTCGGGACTTAAAAATAAATCGAATAAATGAAACGAAAAAATATATCGATAAAAATGTCAAAAGTCACTTGAAAATGAAAAAAGCCAATTTCTTACCTTAAAGCTGAAGTGCTGAGCTTTGATTATTGAAAACGAAAAGAAAGAAAAAAAAAAAAAAGAAAACGTCCCACGCATAAATCAAGTCATAAGCTGTCTCTAGATTATTAATATGCTCAGCAAAAGAATTTCATGATTTATTGGCATTAGACAAACGCCAAATGTGCAGGTCCCAACTCTGCTTGGCTATAGGATTAGCAGGAGGCGGCAGCAAAATGCCACAACGGATAACAATCAAGCACACAGGTGAGTGTGTGTGCGGCCATGTGTGTGTGTGTGTGTGTGTAACAAGTCAATTTGTAGTGCAAATTTGCTCAGTTTATGCAGGCACAAATCATTTTTGTATGCTGCACGCTGGCCACAGCAGAACTGCGCGAATTTTAATGAATGTTCTGCCCCAAAAATTGTGTGTACGCTCGTATAAGTTTGTGTGTGTGTGTGCTCCTGTATTCCCTGTGGCAACAGAGCTGTACGGCAGATGTATGCAGTAGCCCAAAAGCAAATGTAAATACATATGTGAATTTCTGGCATCGAAAAAAAAAACTAACTAATAAACATTTTCGGTTTCCTATACTTATAACATTTTTTATCTCTTCAGCTTTGTTCAGATATTTGATATTTTACATTTACATATTGCTTCAACTCTGAGAGTTTTCTACTTCTGCTGTCTGTCAAAAATTCATTTTTATTTTACCCATTTTCATTGGAGCATGATGAACACAGAAACAATATTAGTTGGGGTCAACTAATCATCGTTGACTTTATAAATTTTGTCTGCTTTTCAATCATATCAAAATGTTGATATAATAATCATAATAATATAATATCACTTTTACTATATACATATATAGATATATATATTATATATAGTATATTATATATATAATATACTCTTATTATCATATCAAAAATATCTCCCTATTGGAGCACTTTTTAAGTTTCACCGAGATATATTCAGTGTCACGTAATCTCTCTCTCTCTCTCTCTCTCTGTCTCTCTCTCACTCTGCTTTCGAGATTCGTAGGGCATTTGGTGGTCGGTCAACAGCGGCGTATTCAGTTGGTACATGGATTTGTTGCCTGGTTTTGGTTTTGTTGCTAAGACTCTTAACTGGCGTTTGGCGCAGTTGGAGTTGGGACAACAGCAGAAACAGCAACAGTAACAACAACAACAACAACAACAAGAAATACAAGTGCAACCTCGACTATGGTTCCGGGCTTTCGTTGTGGTTCTGCTTCTGGGCTTATTATGATTGCAACAAGCAAGTTGGCTGGCAATTATAGCCCGGGTCGCCTGAGCACTAACAGAGTGAAACGGGAAGAGGGAGTGAGGGAGAGAGCGATAGAGAGCGAGAGAGAAGAGAGAGGGGGAGATGGAGCTATGTAGGTTACGAATGACTGTTTAATGCGCTTGCTCTGGTGCCATTTGCCACAGTCCCTTGTTTACAGTCCGAGGTCTCGGTGCAATTGAGCTTGAAATATGTTTGAAGTGCTTGCGCCCATTTGCAGGTCCTGGCGAATATTCGGCTTTGTGCAGATCACAAATGCGGTGCTCCAAGTGCCAGTCGCCCACAATCCGCTTAAGAACTGTACGCACCTCTGCTAACGCTTCAACGAAAGCGACAATAAGCAAAAAAAAAATATATATACATATATATGTCGAGTTTCTGCTCGATATAAACTGTTTCATTTACTGTGCAACGAGGGGGGAGTGAAGTATCGAAATCGCTTGTAGCTAAAGTTTAACCACCGCATTGCAGCTATAAATTGTTACAAAGTTTCAGCAATTAGGTAGAAATATTTTGTGTTAGCTCGGAGCTCGGAGCGCTGAGAGCTGAGCTGCTCTGCTAACCGCATCACCGAAAACAACTGCAATGTGGCTAGCACAAAATAAATGCCCTTGCATGTTTAAGCCAAATAATAATAAAGAAAACAGCTGTATTTGCCATTGTATTTGTTGCTGCCATTAACTTTGGCCTGATTGCCAGCCCCTCGCCCCCTCATGCACCTCTGCCACCACACCCTGTGCTTGCCTGTGTTTCTTTGGAGAATTCGTTAGAACTTATAACCAACAAATAAAGCTTAGGCAGCCAACGAACTGGACAGGCGAAATGCTAAAAACCACTATAATAGGAAGTGAAATTAGCCAAACTGCAGAGATAAGCCAAAATAGAAATTAAACAGATCATAAAGTGCGAGTGCTGGCATCAGCTTTCTATTAATATCAGGCCAAGTTGTTGCCAAGGCAACGGTAAATTGGAAATTGTGGCTAAAATATCCAACCCAAGGAAAAAACATGGTTAGAAGCTTGAATATTAATTTGATATATATATTTATTAATATTTCAAATGGGAGAGAAGTCTTCTTATTTTTTATTCTTTAATTAAAAACAGGAAAATCTAAAGGAAGTTTTGGCATTTAATTTATTCAAGTGTTGAGTAAACAATGAATGGTAAATATGGCTAAAATATTATTTATGACTTGTAAATATTTGTGATAAATAATTGTGACAATAATGACAATAAAATTGCCAAATAAATTTTATCGGGAGAGAAAGTCAATAAGTAAACAAAACAAAAATCGTGCAGCCATTAATTTCTAAACAAACAAAAAATTAATTCAAATGATTTATGACAATTTTTTAAGCATATAATCACAGCAACAATGCATCAGTTTAATGAAATAAAATAAATACGATAAAGCGGCACTAAATATATGAATAGTAATATAATAATGGTAGTTAAAACAGGGAAGACTAGAGCTACCCTATGTTGGATATTATAAAAAAAATAAATGAATCAAAACTTTAATTGTTGTAGTTTTTCAAGTTTAAGAGAGAAAATAGAGGAAAACACATATGTATATCGTATATAGGTGCCTGTCTCTATTTTTGCAAGGAAATGAATGCCTCGCTGCTTAACTACAGGGTATATCGTTCAAAAACAAAGCACTTCAGTGCAATGCCATCGCTATTAATAAAAAATATAATAAATTATCATTGAGCGGACGAAAAAATATTACTACATACATAAATTAGACAAATGCAACAAATTGACCAACAGCTACAAAAACAATTTGTTCATACTACGCCCACAGATGCTAAGCACACACACACACAGCAAGCGGAGAAAGTCAACAATTCTCATTGTCAGCTTCGGCTTTGAGCAATAAATTTTGCTATCAGAGAAAACTTTTGTGGAACGAGACGAGAAGAGAACTATTTGTAATATAATGAGCATTTGTCTGGCCATGTCTATGCTTATAGCATACTCTTTGTGCGTATGTGTGTGAGTGGGTGTGTGTGTGCATTTGGTATGTTTGTGAACTGCTGTGCTTATTGGTTGCATCAATTGTCAACATAAATAAAATTAAATGTTTATCCCTGGTGTGTAGCGAAGACAGGGATAAACTGACAACTGTCATACACACATTAACAGACAGACAGAGCGACAGACACACACACCTGTCGGTGGCTGTCAAATTGACCATTTCATTTCATACAAACACATCGTTTGCTTGTTTCTGCCCTCGACAAGTGGAAATTAAATACAATTTTCGCACGCACACACAGTTGACTGGGTCACGGTCTATCCCCCTTATTCTCTCCCTCTCTCTCTCTCTCTCTCTCTCTCTCTTTCTCTCTATCTAGCCCTCTTAGGGAATATAGGAATTGCTCCAAATCGCCATAAGGTGGCATTACCTTTTACCAGCCACGCAAAATTTCCATTCGCTTAGCATAGCATATTTGTTTAGTCACCTTTACTTAGCTCGCTGTTGGCGGTTTTGCCCTTTAGTGTGGCCTTAAAAAAGATGGGTACACTGTTACAAAGAAAGTGTAACTAATACTGTCTCAGAATTGTAACACATGCATACGATAATAAATTAGAATAGAAAGGAGGCCAGTGAAAATACAGCTAATGAAACTTAACTTTCATTTTTTTTTTTTCTTTTTTTTTCCTATTTTGTTCAATAAGAACTAGATATTTTAAATTTATAGATGTATGATATTCTATTTTCTAAAATATGATTATATGATATGATATGATGATGATATTGATGAATTAAGTAATACAAATAAATTTAATTGAATTTTTTTCCATATTGATAACAATCTCAAATCAAGATTTGTACTGTTTTGTTCAACCCTTCCAATATACTTGCTCTGGTTTTTGTCAGTGCACACAATCAGTTCTCGCAAAGTATACTCTGGGCATTTGAACGAGAGAAAGATACAGTGAGAGAGAGAGAGAGAGGGAGGGAGAGAGAGAGAAAAATGTCCTTGACATTTCTTATGCTTATCGTTGTCAGGGCAGGCGTTGAAATTGTAATTTGTTTAATCTCAGGTGGGCAACGAGCAGGCACACCGAAGACAAAGAAATAATGCTATACATCGCCATGTGTGTATGGGTGTTGATGCTGGGGTACGACTCTATTCGGATGTGGTCTTTAGAGGTACGATTGGGTGTGTGAAAACCACTTAATCCGCGCGACAGCTGCGTCTGCGGTCGTAGCATGTTTTTCCTAATTAACAGCTGAATAATGCTAATCCAATGGGAAGGCAGCAAAGTACATTGCGTGGCAGAGAGCAACTTGATGTTTATATTAAAATTAATTTATTTATTTATTTCATATTATATAAATTACATTACCGAGTGGCCCGCGATGCGTTGCCAAAAATATAAATGTACAAATCAACTTTCTTTTAACTAATTTGTTTTTGGTGTAGTTGCGTGGGTGATTGTTGATATTGGTATTGGCGTGTGTGTGCGTATGCGTGTGCATGGGTGTTAATTGCCGTTTTACATGTGGCGCGTGTTGCTGAAGCCGCCATGGCCCGCCTGGGAGGCACCCTTGTTGTAGCCCATCTGCAGGTTCAGCTCGCCCTCATGGGCGCGCAGCTGCTCTTCGGTGAAGGTGCGCTCGTTCTTCTCGGCCATCTTGGGGCCCAGAGTGGGGCCAGTGAATTCGGGATGTTTTTGTGTCTATCGAAGAGAAGTTATATTATTCGGAAATGCAATTTGGTGTGCCGCTTGGCTTTCAGGCAGTCACTTACAATGCGGCCCAGGGCGTAGAGCGAAAGGGTCACTTGCGGAATATTGCGACGCTCGAAAAGATCGGCAGTTTGGAAAATCTCTTCCTCGGGCACGCCGTACTTCTTGACCGCCGCCTGGAAGCGCTGAATGTTCTCCATCAGCTGGAAGTTGGTGCCGCGCTCCTGAATCTTCTTCACGGAGCCGGGGGCTAGCTTGTTGATCAGCTTGCACAGCCAGACGCCGTCCTTGAGGATGTCCTCATACTGGCCGCTAGGCACCTTCTCGCCGAGCACGGCGAAGACCCAGTTGAGCACCTCCTGTTCTTGTTCCTTGTTGCGTGGCTGCAATAGAGTAAAACGATGCCATTAGCTGTGTATCTCGTCAATCAGTCTCTAGTAATTGCAGACAATTTGGCAACACTTCAATCGCCCGAGCCCAAATGAAAAAACTGCGCGCAATTGTCTAAAAGAAAACAGACAAATCTCACAGATTGCCCACATTCAGCCGAAAGTCAACAGCATGGAGGCTTAATTTTGCTTCCCTTTTTTTTTCTTTTTTTGCACTTAGCAAAAATGTGCGATGAGGCAGCTTGCGGTCCGCAGGCAGCTTTAAGCCTTGGGTGAATTTCCCTTAAGCCAAGCAACCAGCTCGGGCAGCGGGCATCTCCCCTTTGCCCACAACAAAGTGAAGCACGAGAATGGAAATGGAAATGAAAACGAAAATGAAAACGAATAAATGTACATTCATTTTCCAATTAATTAATTTCGATTTTAATGGCGAGCCACGTGAAAAGCTCAAGCGATACCGTAACCGAAACCGCGGCCAGCGCGCACAGACGTCGCAGTTTATGTGACACTTTTCGCTGACAGCCAAAGCCACTAACCGTTTAATTGAAATTTACTTTGTGCGCCCGGCTGAGAGAGCAACGCCTCGCTTGGGTCGATTTGTGACTGGCAGAGTGCGTCCGTCCTTTCCATTTGCGACCTGTGGCCCTAATTAGGCCTATGAAAAGAAGTAGGCGGAGCTAAAAGGATTTCCTCGGAACTCTAGGAGCTCTAAGAAAACGCATAACAATTATCTCTGCATAAAGCTAACCCGAAATATATCAAATTTTATATAGAGAGGAAGAGTAGCAAAATAAAAGATCGAAATATTTAAAGTAAATGTAATTTTATAATAAATTTTAATCCATTGCAAGAAACATACAAATATAATATGACAGCCTGACGGCCTAAGATGAGTTGACAACAAATAAATCCCACTCAATGATAGAACTACTCTCATCTTAAATATATAGATAAGAGTAGGAATCAATCAGTTTTACTTAATATTTTAGCTTAATTCTTAATTCTCTGCTACAGAAACTTCAAACGACCTATTTGATGTGGACAATACTTTATTAATTGCCCAACGTGGCACAGCAAGGGAAATCTAATTAATTTGACTAATTAAACCCCCGGCCTGGCTTCATTTTCATTTTGGATATTTAAACAGCATGGCGTATACGCAACAATTGACTGATTGAACAATGTGAATTGAACTCCCATGGCAGCAGGATTTGTTAATACATATTTATGGCGAAAATGTTGTGATTTTTAGTTATTATTGTGGCCTTGTTCATTCATACATTGAAAGCTGTCATTTGATTTGTGGCCAGCCATGAAATTAAAATAAATTTTGCCCGCACTGTCAAAAACCGAACCGTCCACGAAACTTCAAATATTGGGTTGGGCTCACAAGTGGAAGTGATTCAAAGTCGGCCAATATTTTGCTATGTATTACAATATATGTAGATCATAGGCATAAAAGTGCACAAATAATAAATGAAAAATGTAAAGCTGAATTGAGAATTCCATACTGAAGTATGTTGTTTATGTTGTCGCTATTATTATATGCATGTTGGCTCAGGCGGCACTGATGCATTACCATATTTTGCGAATATTAATGCTGCATTTCAATACTTCTGTGTTATTATTCGTTTCATCTGCATATACATATATATGGAATACATTTTATACATATATTATTTATTTATGGGCTTGTTGGGTCGATATTTCAGTTGGAGCAGAGCCACGCTTAAATAGCCGCCAATGAAGCGAGGGCATTTTAATGAATTGCACATCAATTTGCATTCGCTGAGGCTTCGATTTTAATTTCTGCGAATTGACGGAGTTGGGTGGGTGGCTGGGTGGGGTGTTCGGTGTGCTCTTGCCCTTTTTTGTTTTGCTTTTAATTTTTAATTGAATACACAAACACGAAACTAACGAGAGTGCTGTTGTTGTAGCTCTGCAATTATTAATTGTTTTTCCAATGTTCAATTTTATTTCATTGCTGCTACTTTTATTGTTATTCACAATTTCACAGACAGCTTTTCACAGAGATAGTGATCCGATAAGTGCAGCAGCATATAACGAGTCGTTGAATTACTGAGAATTACGCTGTAATTTATGAGCATATTTATTTATTCAAGGGTTGCAGCTATCGAGCTTCAAGAGTCTCATGAGAGCAGCTCAAAAATACGAAATGAAAATTGCCCAGTTAATTTCAATTCATTGATGCAATAATTAAAAGAAGACTCAGCGCTATAATTAAATTTACACATAATAATATTCTCAGCTTATATATGCTTAATAAAAATTTAATTAAATCATAATTGAATTTAGTATATTAATTATACATTGCAATTATTTGTTTTTCATTTGATTTATGAATTATTCAACTTTGCAAAGAACCAAGTCAAAGTTCTTAGCAGTCAAATTTACGTTTGAGATATATTGATTCAATAACGAATTATCATAATAATGAAGAGTTTATACTTGGCAGTTAGCCTTCAAGGTAAATAAAATACCTTAATAATTTAACTGATTTTTGTATATACTTAAAGTGTTTGTATGTAATTTTAAAGATGTTAAATCGAGTTCAATGATGTTTAAAAATACACATGTGGCTCTATCAATTTATTTAAAATAAGTTTATTCAATTCGCTTGGGAATTTATTTTGCTTGCATCTCTCTTAAATAGTCAGCACAAAGGCATGCCTTATAATTTGTACATTTTCCATAGTTCTCAAAACTTTATCAAATATGAATTCCACAGAATTCTGCATGCATTTGACACGCCCTGTGTGCGAGACCAACTGGCATTGCCTTGATGCTGGGTACATGGACAGCAGCCGTGACCTTCAAATAACCCCCAATTTCTGCTGGCTGGCGACCCGTTTTCGCTTTACACTTTTCAGTTTTCAGTTTTCTGTTTTCTCTTTTCAGTTTTCAGTTTTTTTCAGCTGTTTGCCTTTTTTCGGCCGCTGGCATAAATAAAAATTTTCATTTCAACAAAAAGATAAACGTTCATTTTTGCGCTCTTTTTCTCTATAATTTTTTTTTTTTTTCTGGGCGCCAAAAAGTGTTGATGTTGCTTTGTTGCTGTTGTTGTTGCTGCTTTGTTATTGTTGTTGTTATTATTTCAATTTGTCATTTGGAGCAGTGCCAATTGGCGACCGCCACCCAACATTAACCAACCAAGCAAATGAAATAAAAATGTGCATTCGGCGCCCACACGACTAAGCAGACCGTTCAGGCCATTATAACATTGGCTTGGTCGAATTTAAAGCGGGTATATACGATCGCCTCGAATGTGTCAGTGAGCAAATCTATTAAAGATTTATGATTCCTTTCCGGCTAAAGAAATTTCATACTTTTCGCTTAGCATAATTTCAGCCAGAGCTGTAGAGTGCTCACATTGTGAATGTCTACACAGAGCAGGCTCCACTGTACACATAGTAAGCAGTTTATGTGTTAACAGCCAGAATTACATTTAATGTTTGTATTAAAACTTTTTATATTGTATTTGGATTGTTGCCATTGAATTTTTCAGATGCCGGTCAATAATTTTCCTGGTTCGTCCTTGCTGTGCAACATGTTGTTTGTGAACAATAAACAAAATAAGCAAAGCAATAAACAAATTTTTATACATATACATTTAAAATATAATGCGATCTCTTAAATACAAAAAGAAATAAAATATTTGATAAAATAACTAATTAGTAAATCAAAAACTCATATCAAAAGTAAATATATTCTTTTAATAATACGTATCTTTTTTATTTAAATTTTCATAATATTTGAAGCATTACTAATATTTTAATATATTTTTGTCTTCAGCATTTAAATTTATTTTATTTTATTTGTAGATTTACATCCCATTTTTTGTCAAGTTTATAACAACAAAATAATTCAAAAATTATCCGCAATTCTTCTTAAATTTATTTCATTAAAATGAAAAAGAAAATTTTTATATACATATATTAATAAAAGTCAAGAAACTTTACTATTTGCTGATACTACTATTTACCAAAACTACCATTTATCAACACTACTATTTACTGATACTACTATTTACCAATATTAACTGATACTACTATTTACCAACACTACTATTTACCAACACTACTATTTACTGATACTACTATTTACCAGTATTTACTGATACTACTATTTACCAACACTACTATTTACAAATACTACATTTCCCAACTCTACTTTTTACTCAAACTACTATTTATAAATCGCATATTAGATTTTCTGCTGACGCAATGACGCCTGACATGTTCCACAACGAACTCATTCAGAGAGCTAACGATTTATCTCTTCCGACTGGTAGGTGTAATAAGCCTACAGGGGGCAGTTGCTGGCCCCAGCCCAGGGCCCAAATGTCAACAAAGTGATTTTTTATTTTCATAAACAAAAGCAAAAAAGCGAAGAGGCGCAAAAATGATATATGAGTGTGAATTATGAGCCACAGCAGCTGCCCAGTGTGTGGGTGGCTCAACATAGCTCATATATGTATGTATAATGGCACGGGCATGCGGCGAGCAATGCAAAGGTCGCTTCTGTATTTATTGTTAATTGACTGTTTAAATATTTAATCAATAAAAGTTTTTAATTGAATTCCCAAACATTGCATGCCTTGCATTTGTGTGCGCCTATAATTGCTTACTTAATTAAACAAAAATCAATTGAAATATTCGCTTATGGTACTAATTAAATGTGATTTCGCATTCAAATTAAAATAATCAGGAGATATGACCATGCTCGATGCCTAATTGAGTGAGCCAAAGTCTAGCACTATGGAAGTATATTGAAACTAGAAATATTTGATCACTCAGATTGAATTAGAAAACATACATCATTTGCATATTTAGATTTATACTTATAGAAGATATTTCGAAATTGACTCAATGGGAAGAACAAAGAAACTCGATTCATATGCCATTCTAGTACATAGTGTATCGCTTCAACGGTTTGTTGTATTTTTAAATTGCTTACAATTTTCATCAGTACGTGACTTTAATGAAATTTAAACAATAAAATATGCATTATATTCACATAATTGCTTTTGTGTGTAAATATTTAAATGTAAATAAGCAAAGTGCTGGCCTACAGAGGCCATTGCATCATGTTTCAATTTTAAACTGCTCTCACTTGAAATTTACATGCCAAATAATTAAATCAATTAATTGAAATTTATTATAATAATCGGAAATATTTTTACATGTATATGTACTCATATACGTATATATATGATTTATCAATAACGTAAAATTTGTTTATATTAATATTATATTTAATTATTTCGAAATATCTTCCACACTTTTTGTTGAGCTCATTTAATTATTCATAATATTTAATATAATTTAATATTAAAGTAATGTAATTATTCAATTTTGAGAAAAGTCTAGAAGTTCGTGTCCAAACATACATATATCTTTGATCTGTGAGTATTCACTAAGGCGATTTATTAAACTTCAAATAAACATTTATTTTTAATTCTTTTACAAATGTCCACTTATATATTTAAAACTGACATTATTAAGATCGATGAACTAAAAACAGCAACAGCAACAATTATTAAAAATCACACTCGAATTGAAAATATCAATAAATTTGCATATTAATTTGTTATAATTTTTATTTTTATAATTTATTTTAATTTTTAAATTTATTTTTATTTTTATTTCGTATTTAATTTTTTAATTTTTATTTTCTTCTTGATACTTGTTTTCAATTTTGTCCATAATAAATTATTTTGTTTGTTGTAACACTTACAGCCATTGTTCTGTTTGGTTTGAAAAATGCAAAATTGAATCTGCTGAGCTATGCGCGACTTTTGCGATCAAAATTGAATTTTCGACTGACGCAAGTTGCTGAAACAGTTTTCCATTTATCCTAAGAGGCCAGAGATAATTTAGGAAAATGCTGAAAATGTGTTTTTTTTTTTAGGTTAGCCTAATGCCACTGCCAGCAGCGATGCTGATAGCGACGACGCGACGCGTTGGCAGCGACGCCAGCAGCGACGCCAACGCCAACGCAGTGTTTGGCACTAGACGCCGATTCGACTGTTTCTCGAATGCCAAAATCGCCAGAAATAAAGCCAATGTAGGAGGCACACAAGGCTGACAAACAAATATAGATATGAGCAGCGGAAGCTCTTTATGACGTCACAGCCCCAACAACAATAGCAATAAACTATTACAAAAATATGAAATTATGTAGAAGTGTGGCAACATCTAATGCCAGAAAACGAAAACTATTTTCCTTTCGCTTTTCTGCCCCACCCACAAATCGACAGCAATTTGCCAACAAATTGCCATGTACTGAGTGCTCATTTGTATCTGATAGATACTGGGAAATGTTTGTGCGTGGGCGCCTCTGTCAGATGTCAAGTTCAGGTATATTATACATACATATATACATACATATAGTATCTGCTGCAGCTTCTAACTAATTGCATATTTTTGATTAATTAGCGCACGTTTCTCACACTTGCAGCTAATTTCAGAGATGACGTTGACTTTGAATTCGTATATTTTTATGGCACTTTTTTCTTGAATGTCACTTAGCGAAAAAATGCGTCAATTTGCTTTTTGCTTATGGCAAATTTCTTGCTGTTCACGCTTCATTTCAGCCAAATGGACGCGCTCCACATGAAGGCCGCGCGAATAAACTTGTAATTTCAATTAAAAGTTTTCTCTGACATTCAGAAATGCCAACCATTTCGCTGAATGTAAACATATTGCAGAGGTGCTTGCCAGCCAGGTCTACACAAACACACACCCACACGCTCACACAAACACACACACACAGGGGCATGCCAACGAGGTGCTGGAACTTTGTCATTCCATTTGTTTATTTGAAAGCAATTAAATTATCTAGCAAAACATTTTGATCAAGTTCAAGTTGAAGTGCGTCGCCATTGAGCATATTTTGAGATACTTTCACAAACAAATATAAACAAAGCATCTGGAGGCACATTCGTTTCATCTACCACCTGAAGCACATAAATTTTCACACCTCTGACGTTTATTTTCTATCCAAGCTGAAATATATCTATTTGCTTGCTGCTATTGTTGGGCGTCGGTGGCCCGCAACAATTTTTCAATTTCAATGAAACATCAAACTGAACCGAGGCGAAATGCTGTTGATATAGTTGTGAGTGGTGAGTTCTAGCATTATGACTTGATTCATGGACATCATTTTGTTTTTTATTTATTTTTCATTGGAGATAAGGCCATCAATGAACCGCAGTGCAAACTAACGAGCATCTGCTTCCAAGTAAATTCAGATTGGGTTTTTCGGCTCGAACGAATTCATATACTTATGGCATATGCGTATTTTTATTTACATATTGAGATGAATTGTAGTATTTATTTATAGCATATATATTTACGTTAAGCTCCAGAGATTTCCACTTGAAAAATCTCCAGTTTCTTGCATAAAAGCTTAAGAGTCACGTCAAAGGATTACATATATTTATGAGTTTAACTTGGGTTTGCCTTAAAATCTCTTGCCCAAATGAAACTTTCTCAAGGCAATCTGAAACATTACGGAAACGTACATTTTAATAATATTTATAAAATTGAACTTTACGCTGAAGTGACATAAATTAGGCATAATTCTTTTGACTTAGACCAAACCATTTTTAATGAAAATGCAAAAGGGCGAGGAAAACAAATTTGAAAGCAACACCTACGTAATGGAATTTTCATACATAGATTGTGGCCAACAGCTGCCAAGGCTGCAATCAAAATTAATTGAGCGACTCAGCGCTCAGTGCCAGCTCATGTGTGTGTGAAGATGTGTGTATGTATGGCTATGCACGCTTGTGTGTCAAACTGAAGGCGTTCACGTGGGCGACCTACAAACATCTCTATATATACACATACATATATAAATTTATGTATGCCGATCTGACAAGTGGCGATACGTCTGTCTGTTTGTTTGTTTGATGCGACCCAAAAAAGCCAGCAAAAATATTTTTGTAAAAAGTATTTGATTTATAAAAACATTAAAAACTATGAATAAAGTATAAATATATATTGTATAGTCTGACTATGCAAATGCTCTATTCTGCTTAATGTATTTAAAAATCAGACATAAAATCACGTTATATTAGAAAAAACAGAATTAAGTAGATAACTTAATTCTTTATAAAATATAAGTAAATGTTAAAATAAATGTTAAAATACTTGTAACTCTCTAAAATATTTATTGCACATATTTCAATTTCGATTATGTGAAATGTATCGAAATACTTTTAATCACTCCCTAATGCCAGGGTATTTAAGTCGGTCAGCAGCTGCCTTGTGCTTTTGCTTAATACAAACAACTGTTGCTCATAAATAAGAGAACAAATTGGCTATACAAACAAGAGACGGAAACAGAAAAGAAAACAAAGCCCTGCACAGCGCTCGCCCCTCCTGTCTCCGCGCTACGATATTTGTCGATAATTATGCCCAAGGAAAACCGCACTTGTATCGAGGTCAATTGAGCAAGGGCCATAGCCACAGATATTTTTGGCACCATCTGTATAGAACTGAATAAGTGCATATAGATTTTCCATTTTGTTTTCACGAGTCGAAAACTGGAAATATTTATGTTTGTTGAAAATAAAGTCTATTAAAATTCTTAAATTTGGCTATTTGGAAAATTAAATTAAATACTGAAAGAACTCAAAATTTTGTATTCAATAGAAAGAACATAAAAAGTGCCAATAGATCAATTGAGTAAATAACAAACAGCTTTTAAATGGCCCATCAAACAGCAGAGCTTCCATTTATATATATCTACGAGAAACTATCACATTATACAAACAGCTGCGCCGCAAGGGCCAGATAGAGGGCATAACGGTTTTGCCCTGTCCAATATTTAGCATCAAGATGCGAATTTAAATTCAAGTAAGCCCCATAGTTGTTGCTGCTGGCACTATCTGCTGACTTATGCAGTGTGGCCTTTTCTTTCGAGCTGCGACTAAATAATTCCCCCCCCCTCAGCACTCTCCACTCACCATGCTGGGTGCGAATGTTTATCTCTGGCCGGCGCCAGCAACTGCAAGACGTAAAATTTTCAATTTGAATAATTTCGCGGGCATATCTGGTGCGGTATTCGCATACCCATTGAAATTGAATGGGGAATGGAGCGTGCAACACAGTTGAGGAACATATTTCTGATTGACAGCTGACAGATTGCCAAAGAAATTTGTTCTGAATTTAAATACGAAATTCATAGTTGAGAAATAAAATAAATAAAAATTATATTCTAAAAATATATATAATTTATAAATAACAATAAATATATATTAATTATTATTATAATATTAATAGTACATAAATAAATAAATCTATTTATATATATATATATATGTATATATATATTTTTTTTTTTATTTTTTATTTATTTATTTATTTTTTTTTATGTATGTACGAATATACCAAATATTTACTTTAAATTATGGAATATTTCAAATGATCTTTTTAGATTACTTCATTCAGGACTTAAAGGGTATGCTCTACTGTAGCACTCACAGCTAAGCAACTTTTATTTGTTAGATTTTAGTTTGCGCTGCTGTTTGGTTCTCCTCTCGGAGCTGCAAGTCCAGTAAAATACTTGAATAAATATTAAAAAATATAAAAGATAGCTGCAATATATGCAAGCTGCAGGCAACACGCAAACAATTTACGATCTAAGCTCATATATGTAAATACATAAATATATATACATATACATGTATATGTATATGTGTGACACACGTACACACAGATATTTGTGTTTGCATAAATTAGAGTTTGCTGTGTTACTTGAGGCAACATTTTCCGTATCTGTATCTGTGTGTGTAAATGTATCTGTATCTGCTGTTCAGCCAGGCCTTTATATTAGATTTTACCCCAGGCTGTTTACCAATAAGTCGCACCATTTGCATTGTAGATTTGGGCCGCACTTTTGTCTCCCCATTCCGCGAAACTGCAGCGAGTAAACAATTTGTTGTATCATGTTTTGGCTATTAGTAAACATTTTGCTGTGTTTATTCTCAAAATTTGCCACCCATTTCCGCCGCAGGCCCACGCACAGTTCTTTCTATCTTTTTTTTATGCTCTAGCACAATTTTCACGACAGCTGCCATATGTTGCCGACTGGCTGCGGGATCAATAAATACAAATTCACTACATTCGCGACATGCATATACATGTGTCTATATATACATGTTTTGTTATGCTTTGTGCCAATTTAAAAAATAGCTAATTTTATTGTGTATCTGTGTTTTCTTTTTATTAACTTTTCAGTTACTCTGTGGCTTATTGAATTGTGAACTGGAATGAATACTAACAGATATTAATTTAATATTATACTATAACTATACACGATTTGTCGACACTTTAGATATACTACATAAGCATATATATACAGATTTTTCCAAATAAACTGTAAACTTAAAAATTCCAATTAGTAAAGTCTTTGATCCTGAAGAAGAGCAAACGCACAGAACGAAGAGCACAATGAAACATATGTGCGTATGCAAATGAAATTTGCTTGTCTTTTATACAAGTGCATTAAAATATAAACATGAAAGAGCTCTTTTCTCTCCAAGCAGCCTGCCTGCCGTGTTGCCTCGGAGAATACCCTTCTTTGGGCTGGCATCCCACTCTCAGTGTAGGTGATGGCGACTCAGCTAATGTGTGTGCGTGTGCGTGTGTGTGTGTGTGTTTGTGTTTGTGTGTCGTCTTTGTAATCACTTTATTTTGCATATGTGAGCGCTGTTAAGTGTATAAGCATTCGAGTGTCTGTGCGTGTGTGTGTGACAGTGTACTTTGTAAATAAATTGCAAAAATATTTTAAAGGTTGCCAGAGCGACGTCGCTCTCGCTCTCGTGTCTCAGCTC